CCCATTGAGCATCTCTGGAGAGACCTGAAAATGGCTGTCCACCAACGTTTACCATCCAACCTGACAGCACTGGAGAGGATCTGCAAGGAGGAATGGCAGAGGATCCCCAAATGCAGGTGTGAAAACTTGTTGCATCATTCCCAAAAAGACTCATGGCTGTATTAGCTCAACAGGGTGCTTCTACTAAATACTGAGCAAAGGGTCTGAATACTTATGACCATGTGATATTTCAGTTTTTCTTTTTTAATAAATCTGCAAAAATGTCAAAAATTCTGTGTTTTTCTGTCAATATGGGGTGCTGTGTGTACATTAATGAGGAAAAAAATGAACTTAAATGATTTTAGCATATGGCTGCAATATAACAGAGTGAAAAATTTAAGGGGGTCTGAATACTTTCCGTACCCACTGTACATTTATTCTCAAAAAATATTTTTAGAGATTAAATATCACCACAGATGCACTGAGTAAGATTTAAAGATTATTAACCCATTTTTAATCCTATTTCTAAGCTTTAAATATATCATTATATACTCCTAGCATTTGGCCTTACAGACAATATGATGATTGTCTTTTCCATCCATACGTTATCTATAACACTTATTCCTGAACAGGGTTGTGGGGGGCCTAGAGCTGCATGTATTTGGACTGTGGGAGGAAGCCGGAGATCCCAGAGAGAGCCCATGCAGGCACAGGGAGAACATGCAAACTCTGCACAGAAAGGCCCTGGAAATTGTGTCGTCAGTGTTAAAGTGTGTATTCCTCTCTCAACCAAAGGGGGAAGCACTGAGAAAATCACTGCTAGGCACATCAAAATGAGGAAAAGAAGTTGTCACACTAACTGGGGCTGTGGCTACCTTCTGCTGTAATGCACACTGGCTGACAAAAATAAATATAATAAAATAAAAACAAAGGCTCAGCTAGAAAAGTCTCAGTCAAATGACGGGCCTCACGACTAATGATTCAACCAGTGGACCTTCAGGGGACAGCCCTAGTTATTTTCCACAATTAGAGTACTAAATGGCTTGTAATAGCACAGACATATTTATATGCATGGTTTCAGTGAGGTATGGATACTGACAGTGCAGTCAAATTGGGCTGAAGCTGCAAAAGGCCACATCCACTTCTCCGCCTCTCACACATTTACAGCCCCACACATACATAGTGTACATTATTTAAGACAAAGTAGTCATTTTTCTGTTTTCCCTCTTAATGAAACCACCCTCCCTGAGATGTAAAATGGAGTAGATACTGCTCAGCCTATTGATCGATGCCTCCTCACCCCATTCTGACATTTGCTTATCTGAATCAACATCTACTGCTATTGATGTTTGCTCTATCTGGACATCTTCTTAAGGTGTGCTGTTATTTGTCAGCTCTTAAATAAAAACAGAAGTGGGGAGAATCGTCAGTGATAAGACTTAACGACACCAGCCACAGTGATTGTTTTATATAAGCTGGAGGACAGAATACTGTCTGTGGGAAGCTCAGCACTGTATTGTGATTAATTTCTCACTCTATACCTCTTATGGTTCCACTGAGCAATTTTCTATTTTTGCCACTAATAAGCAGGTTAAAGAAGACTCATTCTGCAACCTCTCGCATGGATTCACTCATAACTATGGTCAATTTACTGAAGCTTTACTGAACACCTTTTAAACTAATGGATTTAAGAGCCCACTCTACAGGCTCTCCCAGTAAAATCTACAATTTTCCCAACTTCACCCAAACTCTCCGCTTCTCGGATAGAAACTAGTGAGAGCGACACATCCACAGTAGAGTAAAATTTCAAGCTTTATACTTTGCCATCTTTTAATTCTAATACAGTACAGGCCAGACTTCCTTAACATGCTTTTCTACAAATAAATTTTCTCCCCATGAGGTGGAAGACAGATTCTTCCATTCCTCCTTCCCTCTTTCCTCCCTTGCCCCATCTCCTGCAGAGAGGTCATTATTGCAGCTAATTATCTGCAAATAGGCTCAATATGACAAACACAGCGCTGCACCGGTGCTGGCTAAGCACAGGAATCAGTCTGAGTGGGAATGAAAGAGTGAAAAGGAGGCAAGGAGAGACAGACAAGGAACAGAAAGGGGTCACACTGAAGAGAAAAAACGTGACTCAGAGATAATTGAGAAGAACATGAGAAAGACACTGTGGAATAAGATGAGAGAAAATGAGGAACTATAAAAGTGCTATACTGTAAGTGGAAGGCAGACTGGGGAAAAAAGGCAATGACACGAAAAGGGAGACAGCATAGACATGGGAAAATTATCTTTTCTATACAGTGTGTGATGGTTGCTGCCACTGGAAATGTCCTGCAATGTACAGGCCACATCAATTTAACTCCCAGCATGCTTTGTGAGGAGGGTATCTCAAGGCTCTAAGGCTGTTTATCTCATCTCCACAGAGAAACTCATTTACCAGGCAAACATGGAGGGCTATGATGCATCAGTAGGTGCTTGATTAGATCCTTACTTCTGATGCGTGCAGCTATTTATCAGTGTTGAATGAATGCACATTTGCTTTCCTTTCATCTGGATAATCCTGAGTGTCCTTCTGCTTAATTTCTTCAAATGAATGCGTCACAGGAGCATCAGGGCTCCCTGCAAAGTGACAGGATAATCTAGTTATTGTTGCCCCACAGTTTTGATCAACACTTTAAGTTTCACAAAAGGCATCAGGCATTGTCTTGCTGTGTTTTGTTTGCCAGTGACAACAGCTCTAAAAAACCTTAGGAAATGAATATGAGTGGCAGCATTAAGGGATCATTGCTACTAAAGATTAGTATGTGGCTGCAGGTGTGATACAGATGCTAAGACAAGTTGAAATCACTGAGCTATTCCTGTCCCATAACACAGACAACACACACAAGCACACAGAGCTGAACAACAGATTTTTAGTGAGTATGACTTACATCACTAACTCCAGCCTCCACTATCTTCAGGCCTGTTTCCTTCTCCAGCTGCTGCTTCTGTTGGACTGCATGGGGAGACAAGAGCAGAGGAGGTGCTGAGAATGAGCAGCGGATGACACAGTAGCAGATTTTTCACTTCCTGAGGGGAAACAAGTGGTCAGTGAAAGTGAGAATGATGCACTGGATGCAACAGCATGAGTCAGATGTCAAACTGGTCATAGACAGGCACCACACACACAGAAAATCTTTATGATGAGAAGAAGAAAAACAATCCTCAGTGCAAGATAGCTGAAAGGAGTCTGTGGTGGCTCTTGGAAGGATGATAGGTAGGAGCTAAAATTGGTTTAAGTTTGATTTATTGTCTAGCACTAGATTTCACACACTGATATGCAACACTAGACCGATGTAATATTTAGGTTTATGCCCTAGACCGATGTAATATTTAGGTTTATGCCCAACAGCAACTGTGTTTGCATTTTTCTTTGGGATACAAACAATGGTGGGTAGGGCCTCCTTGTTTCTTTACTGAATATGGGACCATTCTGTGTTATTGTGATATTTACGCTGTGATAAAGCATGGATCATAGTGGAAAGAATGTTTGTCAAGGAAATTACTTTGCTTTATGAAAAGAAGACGACTACTGGGCTGCAGTCACAGATCCTGCAACTCGCACATGAAGCGAATCCCAGTTCCCTTATTTTATCATTCCTCAGTCCTCAATCTTGTGAAGGATACACTTGTGTATCCTTCACAAAAGTCTGTTACGGATTGACATGCCTTGTATTGGAAATAAGTTTGTGAGTGGATGTTACACATGAAAGATCAGTGGCAACCTCTCTCCTCGAAGCCTCTCCTTGCATCCTACGTGGGCAGGAATAAGATGCTAGTAAAAGATGCAGGAGAAGGAAACATGGATGCTATTAGTGGAACTGGGATTCACCTACTGTATTTCTTAAACTGCAGCAGCCATGATGTGAAATTTTTAAGAAGGTGTGTGTCAGCTATAGTATAGCCTAAGTATATGACCACCATACAGAAGCTATGCAGAAATATAAATTAAGCTTTAGCAGATATATATTCACCATCTCAGCACTAAATTAGCACTAAACACAGTACAACTGAAGCTGATAGGAGAGTAAAGTTCTGCCATGACGATATTATTATGTCAGATGTCACCAAAGTTAACATACATTATCCTGAGGGGATCATGAATGTGTGTGTCAAATTCCAGTGTCATCCCTCAATGAGAAGTCTGGAGATCACTAAAGCCAACAGGAATATAAATGTCTGCATAAAATACATTGTCAGTTTATCTAATATTTGTTGAGATGTCTCAGTCTTGACCAAAGTGATGGAAAATGCTGGCATTCATGGAGCCATGTTGCTCACAAAGCTAAAAATATAAAAATCAAAAAAGGTTTACCATTATCTTCACACACTGAGTCAGACCTACTCAAGATTATCAGAAAGCATTTGAAGTGCACAAACTAACTAAAGCTCCAGTCTTTGTTCTTGCAGTTAACACACCACCTGAGTTTGAACCTCAAAGGATATCGATCTAATCAAATATGCCATGCTATTTCCATAGCTTTGTTCATGTAAGATATTCTCATGCAAATCAAAGTGAGGAAGTAAATATATACAGATCAAGATCACACGTTTTGCCGCCTTTTTCACCTCTTGTGCTTAACGCCACTGTCTCACTTTGATAGAAACATTTATATTGAAAAACAAAATCAAAGGGGTCTTAATAGATTATACCAAATTATAGAGTGAAAGAGAAAAATTGAGCATAATTTTAATTGAGTTTGTTAGCATGTGAATGAAATTGGTAATGGGGAAAAGGAAAAAAGTGAGAGTTAAAGAGAGAAAGAGAGCAGGTCCTTTAAATCCCATTTCCCCAGATGAAGGCTATGCAAATGACCCTGAAGAGCTGAACCCCACCTCACACTCCAAATTCAGCAAGGGCCTGTTTAATTAGTATTTTAATCTATCCCAGTGATTCCACTCATCCACAATGTATGCAGCATTCCATCTAATTAAGCACGCTACTTTTAGGATAATCATCCATCTCCCTCAGTCTTCCTCTGTCGCCTTTTCTCTTTCTGGTTATTAAGGATCTTGCAAACATTGATCATGCTGTCATCTCATCAACATGGCAGCAAAGGGGACATCTTATATTTTAGCTGTCGGCCAGGGGTTTCTGAAGAATGGCAAAAAGGAGGCGGCTAGCGTTGGAAAGGTTAAATATACAGTGAAAGTCTCTAAATTAGAGTGTCACATAAAAGAACTGAAAGAAAAAAAAACATTTCCTGTCATTAACGAGAGGAGAAAAGTCTTCAACCTGCATGTCTCCAGGATGAAACTCATTTTCATCTCATGTTGCCACCCCCTGTATTTAGTCCCAGACATACTGCCTCTCCACAGATAGCCACAGTACCTGCTCGGTCGTGGTGCTATTTAAGAGGGGGGTAATGAGCGAGGTAATTGGGCCCAGCTGGGTGAGGGCGTAGGTGGTGGAGAAGGCGAAGTTGCTAAAAGGTCACACAACATTTTGGTCCTAATGAGGACCCCTCTGGGGCCGATACACATCATGAGTCAAACTAGGAGAGACAGGAGAGATTAGCCTGGAATCAACACACGTACACATCAGAGCGGCTGCAGCTAACGATTTGAATGACAAGCTGACATTAACCTTCTTACAGTGAAACTAAGGAAGCCTGAAGGTCAGTATTTATTTATGAATCAAAGCTGAGGACTCTCCAATCAACCTGAGGGAAAGGATGGTCCCACAACATCCACTTAAATGTAAATAAAAATGTACTTGCCAAGCTCATTAGCTGGCAGCTGGATGGATCTGGGCTGCAGTGAGAATCCAATTGATCGCTTGTTCTGTCACTGACTGTAGAGATAACAGCCCACAGTGTCTCTTTATGGTCACCCCATATATTAACCTCCCACTGGAGCTCACTCTTTTTTCCAGACTGTGGAAAAGAGATGTCAGGACTCATTTCAAAGAGGCTCCTCCAGCTATTTTAATAGGCATTGTCTGAGGCTATCTAGTCAGATCTCCAATCTTGAGATCTGATCCTCGCTGCTCATAATGTAATGTAATGCCAGGAAGATTTTCATGTGATCAAACGTGCACCATTTTAACTTACATAACTTGCGTACAGCTTTATTGAATTGCCTCATGGTACAATACTGTCATGATAAAAAGTCCACGATATGATATTTATCACAATATTCAAAAAATGTAAAGAATTTCGTTGATAAGTCACTTTTTATATAATTTCCTTTTAACTTGTAGTACTTCTGCTTTCCTGCTTTATTAAAATAAAAGTAGCCAGCCATGAGCTAAGCATGTGCAAAAATCCGACGTGAAGTCATTGGCACTGAATGCCTGAAGTTTTTGTACAACTGCAAAACAAAAAATATGTAATGCAGCAGTCATTTTATGAAATACAATAAAATACAATATATTATTGTAGCAGCTGGATCTCGTAAACAAAACAAGCCACAGTCACAGTGGAACATCAGTGTTTTAATACCCCCTAGGCAGGTTTTACGTCTCCTGTTTGGTGGCTGTGCTGATCACTATGTCCCTTTCAAATTCTGCACCCTGAACTCAGTAATATTAGTGAAATAGCCAAATGTAATATCCTGGAAGATACCGTGACAGTCCCACACCGGTATCACAATATTGCTACATCCCTAAAAAGTAAGTGTTATTTGTAAAATTACCACCACACAAATTTCAACCACTACCTCTGAATTATTTCAACTAGACCTGTTTCTGCTGCCAAAGGACATTTTTCATTTACAAACTACACTTGTGCACAAAGGAATCTGCCCTGATTCACCAGGTGAACAGGAAGAGCAGAGGAATACTTAAAGAAAAGGCACTGGGGTTTATGGAGGAAGAGGAAAAGTCATCAATCATCAGTCTAAGGAATGATTGTTGTATTTCCTTGACATGCACAATAGT